GGAAGGTCTACTCATCTGTAGGCCTCCTTTTTCCTTCTCCAATTTTTCTCCTGTCAGTTTGGAACTGGGCTTTGCTTCTGGCTGATGGTGTGGATTGGAATTCTGCTCAGCCACAGAACTGGAGATACATTGCTGATGAGTTGAAAGGATTTCCCAAGAAGATTACTGCATGACACACTTTGCCCTGGCTGAGCCTTGCTCAAAATTTCTTTACTTTTTTTATTTCTTCTTTCCCTCCACTGGCATCAACTCCAATAGTGTCTGTCTGTCTTTCTTTCTTTCTTTCTTTCTTTCTTTCTTTCTTTCTTTCTTTCTTTCTTTCTTTCTTTCTTTCTTTCTTTCCAAGGGGATGGGAATACAATTTACAGAGGGGTAAGCATGTTGAAGTAAAACCGAGAAAGGGTCTGGGGATGTCTTTATTTATTTATGTGTTAATCATATTTATATGGCCTTAGAAGTACCAGTTTATTGTGGTAGAAACTGTTATGGATCTCATGGTTTTTAGTCCCTATTGAAATCCTCCCTGCCCAGTCACTAGTTGGTTTTCCATTTCCTTAACCTTTATTTTTCTAACAACCGTTTGTAATGTATGGCTTTATTTGGCCACTGCAAACCACAATCTCTAATCTATAGTCCTCCTATCTTTTGGCCTCTCCACCATTGATTCCTTTTTCTTTCTCATCCACTGTCTCATTCTCCTGTCATTTTGGAATGCAAGCCTGAAGGTGGGGACAATCTCCCTTCCTCTTCCCCCTCATTCCTTCCTCCCTCCCTCCATCTCTGAGAGCTTCATGCAAAGTGTAGATGCAATCAGTCCATCAATAAAGCCATTTACCTAAAGCTTTGCACCACACCTACTTCTGTGTCTATGTCTTATGAGAGATTTACCAGCAAAATCAAACTTACAATTCCTCCCTGCCCTTGTTCCTTCACATGGTGTTTTCCTCAAATGTAAATAATACTAGTGTGGTTGAGTCTGATCTGCATAGTAAGTGCAAAAGAAGCACATTAGTTGATTTCACATAGGATGGTGCAATGCTCTTTCCAATCCTAGTTATCTGGAACAATTGATATGTTAGAAATGTGGTTCTGGTCTAAATCACTTCCAGGGTTCCTCTTTCTTTAGATGTGAGAAAGAGACAATTTGAAGACAACACTGTTAATAGCTGCTGCTAGACCTATTCACCATTAAAAGCTCTGATCTTTCCTAAAGGGAGATTTGGGGTTTTGTTTTTCCTGGGCTAGTGTTTCTCTGTGGCTTTGGGGTTAAACATGTATGACTTGAAAGGAGTTAGCTGTTTTTGAATAATTTATTCCAGATGGACCCTCACAGAATTTCTGAAGAGGATACCCACTGTTTAAGGTCCTTCTTGAGACTTCAGGGGAATGTAGATCTGCAAGAAACCACCTTGGCCAACCAAGAGACAAGGCTATTGTCTGAATCATGTCGAAGGATGAAGCAGGCTTTTCAGAGAGTAATGCAAAAGGTCAGTCTACTCCAGGGGTGCATCAAGCTTGGAATTTTGTGAAAGTTTCAGCGTTACCCCAGACCCTTTATGCAGTTACCATCACACAAAAGCCTCACATTGGAAATAAAGTATAAAGGATTTCCTTCTTTTGAGTGGAGTCTCGTGAACTGAGCGAATCAATGGAGAATATACTCTATTCTCTCCTCAAAATAAGGATGAAGCCATAGAGTGTTGGTTGTTGTAAAGGACTGACAAAAGCATCCTACACAAGTTATGAGTTAGTATTAACAGCAAGGAGAAAGTACATTTTGCACTAAAATTATGAACAGCTAATATAGATTTAAGATCTAAAGTAGGCTTACATTTTTCATGTGACTTAAGTAAATATGACTTCACATAACTTAAGTAAATAGATGTAGATCTCTGTGCATATCAAGTAGTAGGAACTTGGAACATTGTTCTATATTAGTTGGTTTTAAAGTACTGCAGTGCTAATTTTATGATGAACGCTTTGGAGTGATGTGTTTTGGATCCGTGGTTTATGGTTTGCTAATTATTTTTCAACTCTCACCCCTTCTTTGAAGCACTGTGGTAAATAAAGTGGGGGAAAAAGGGGAGGAAGAAAGAAATTTAAAAATGGTATGTATTTCATGTGTTGGAATGTGGAAGGGGCAGATGTGCAAATGGATTTGTATCAGATGTTCAGGTGAGATAATTGCACCACCAGTCAGGCGAGGTAAAAAAAAAAAAGTGAACTTGGTGGTCATGACTGTGTGATTGAAGCCCTTCCCTTTTTTACATGCATTAATACAAATAAAATACATGCTTTGGTCACAAGGTTGCAGATACCATCTTGGTTTTTTAACAAACCCCCCCCCCCGACATTCCTAGCACCATCTTCCCAAGGATGCTGTTGGCATAAAAAGCCATAATGAAAGCTCAATTAGTCAATATATCAATCAATGTGTCACTCAAATTCCATTTATCATCTTGCTTGATGATCAGTTCTAAAGAACTTGAAAGTTGGAATGTTATTTTGTGATTCTGAATCGAAGCACCCTGATATGGATTAAGGAATCTTGAATATAATGGGCTTAATGTTGGTGCTTTGATTTAAAATGGAAAATTGCCCTAGGGACCTGCTCTGGATTACAACCCTCCCTGGTTTGGGTTTCAATATGCATTGGGTGAAGAACGCTTACCCTTCCTTTCCCAGCTACAACCTGTTCCAGTTGTGTTGAAATTTGGCTTGAAATTCAATGAAGACCTTCAAGGGCTTCTTTCCCAAACTTTTTTTCAAATTTGGTTGGGGTGTAAAGAGGGGACAGGAGGTCACTGGCATGGATCATGCATACCATGTTGGTTGCAGATCTCCCATCTCCATTCTGATTTAGGGTTCTGTCCAAATGATGCTCAAGAGAACTTCATATCTCTACAAGGATTTAAACCCACATTTTCTCATCCCAAACCTAATGCTCCAAACTGTTGCTCATATATACTTTCATTGGGCTTAATACAGAATCATTATCACTATGGAGATGAAAAAAAATCTAGGAATATATTGATCATGCTTCTGTTTGATTTCAGCTCCCTGTCCCCTAATCAGTGTTTTCTACAAGTTGTTTTCCAGAATATTGGAAAACTATGAATATTGAATATTCAGAAAGAAATAGAACACTTGACTCTCTCGTGTGTCCATTGAACTTCAGTTCTAATATTCTTTATGAACAATTTTGGAACTATCTACCCATTCATTAGCTGTTCTTCTGTATTTATAAGACAATAGGCTGTTTAGGGATATAAGCTTGTCTGTCAGGCTTATTTTTTAGATTTATTTTCCATTCCTTGTATACCACCATAACTGTCCATCTCCAGGCAGTTCACAAACTTGAGCCATAAAGCAGGAAAACCATAAAACCACATCATTGATTGATGGATTATGTGCCACTGAATTGTTCTCAAGCCTTAGTGACCACATAGATAGACTTTCTCCAGCATGATCTTGGTGCTTTAGGTCCCCAAACTCTGCACCCATCACTACTATAACTGAGTCCATCCGATTTGCTGCTGGTCGTCCTCTTCTTCTCTTTCCTTCCACCTTTCCCAAGATCATGGACTTCTGAAGGGAGCTAGATCTTTGCATATAATCACATTGGAACACTCATTAAAAAGATACAAAATTAAGATAACACACACACTGCCATACAGATGGCAGACAAAGCACAGATCTTAATCTCCAAATCTTTTAAACAGTTTTTTGTGGTGACAACCAAAGTAGAGGCTAGGTGAGTATTGGGTGGGGAAGCTTACTCTGTTGAGGAAACAATGGAGAAGCACTGCTTTTGTGCCTCTGCCCCCATTATCTTTTAGTGAGTATACTCAGAGCATCCTCTTGCAAGCAAAATGAACAGGTTGACCAAAAGATTCTTGTAGATATCCTTTGTAAGTTAAAATCAGTACCTGGAATTGAACTTGGAAATCTATTGGAAGCCCATGTAGTGTCTGCTGTATAGTGGTTCTACTACTAAACTATGTTTTGCCAGCCAATATGCAGACTGCTTCAATCTCCATCCATTGGATAAGGAACTTCGTGGCATCTTCATGGCATTTCATATTTTCCTTGAAAGCACCATTGCAACAAAAGCATCATACAGTTGGGAAGATTTCAAGGCAGGATCGCTTAAAAGAAGATGTTCTCTGCGTGTGTTCAGAAGAAGTCCTCTCAGCTCTTAGGTACCTGCCTCAAACCGAAAGTCTGATACTTTAGAGTCACAAACCACATTCATTTTAGAAAAATTTGCTACCAGATTGGCAGAAGAGAACTTGGCATCTGCCTCTAACCAAAAGCATCCTGTTTCGAGCACGATTCTCACAGGGTCTCTAATGAGGTTTCTTGAGAAGAAAGAGATGGGGTCACAGGAAGTGTGGCAACCTTCCTGTGGCAATATATTTTTCCTTCCAAAGGCAATATATTCCCAAAGTAGATAAGGCAGAGACTTCTTTAATTTCCTTTTAACTGCCTCTGAAGGGTTAGGTCTGTTCATTCATAAGAGAGGATTTTATGGCTGGTTCTTTAAATAATAGTCTTCTGAATCATTATTTATTGGGGAGCCAACCATGACTAGTACAAGCCCATTTAGCCTTTTTCAACATTGGCTGTCCTTGATCACAGCAGATCCTGAAAAATTGGCCACAGTAGGCTGAATTCACATGAAACCTCACCAAATATTGGGCAGGCATTATGACATTAACTCAGCTAACTATTCCGGAGTCTTTAGAGGGTTTGCTCTCTTACGCATCACTGCCTGTTTAGCTCTATTTAAATCTAATTATGATCTGATCTAAGGGTGCCTAAAGCTTGGCAGGGTACTAGACCCTTGTGTGGAAATCTCTTGGTTCATTTCCTTTTTTATTGCCGTGGAGGGATTCTCACATCCTCACAGTTCTGGTAATAAAAAATCTGGCAAGAGGTTTTAATTGCCCTAGTTCAGAGTTGTTTTTTTAAATCCTGCCAGGATTTTGCTGAAGAAAGAATGTTTAGTAGAGCTTTCTGCCGTGTAGAATTTTATTTATTTGTGGATCCACACAGGGTAAAATTGGATTTCTGTGATTGAAACATAGTCTCTTTCCCCCAAATGGATCTAATAAACTATGCTGGGGGTGGGGTGGGGGCTTTATAAGTGAGAGGAGAGAAGCACATTTAGCCACAGTTACCTTGGTGATAGGCCATGTCAGCCTTTCTGTCTTAAAAAAATACTCTTGGTTTTGTGAGTGCCTGGTCTACTGGCAGGGTGTGGCTGTTTTCCAAGCACAGATATTCCTGCATAACTGGAAACTGTGTCTGTGCTGTGCTACGCTGTGGCCTTTGCAACCCAAACCTTTTGGGGGTGCCCTGTTTAAAAGCCACTGAATGCAGATAGGGAGTTGGTCTTATTTGCAGCAACGTTGATACCTGTCGTTGATAGATAGACAGTTCCCTTAATCCAGTGTTGTCCAAACTTGGCCACTTTAAGATGAATGGACTTCAACTCCCAGAATTCTGGGAGTCCACTCATCTTAAAGTGGCCAAATTTGGACAACACTGCCTTAATCGAACTTAGAAGCCATAGGATGGGAATTATGGTTAGTCAATTTCAGCTACAAGGGAAACAGATTGGGAGAAGAATTCTCAGCGAGCATGAGGCGAAGAAAAGAAAAGCAATTCAGTGGAGCAGTAGAACTGGAAGACAGCTAATGGAAGATGTTCTGGCCTCTATGCAGTCCTCTGAAGGAGAGCAAATTCAAAGCGAGTTGGGAGGGGGGTCTCTTCCAGTTCTTAAATGGATTTGTGGAGCCACCTGGCTTGTACCAATTACAGTGACGCATAGACCAACAACCACACAGGCAGGCTGTTTAGTTCTCTGCTCACGTCAGTGGGCCTTATTTCCACTGAAACCTGAAGGCTACGGTGACAGTTTTCCTTCTTAGTTCTTGGCAAATGTGCGTAAAATCCCCAGCTCTTCAAATTTATTCAAACAATGTCAACAAATTATGTTTTTCTTCCTTTGCTGGTTTGATGACTTTTTGTGCAAGACCTTAGAAGGCCTTTTGCAAACCACATTCATCTCAGAGTAGTCTGCCATCACTTTGGCAGAAGAGAGTGTCGGATACGTTGGTCAGTTGATGGAGCACTTTCCACTCACCCTCGCCTTGGCAGCGATCCCAGGAGCTGTCAGCTCAGGGGAGCTCGGTCAGGTTTAGACTTGTCCTTGTGTTTGGCAACAAAACATTTCACCCGTTGTACCTCCAGCATGGCTTTTCATAAAGAAACATTTACGCATGCTGTAGAAGGATGCTTGACGTTGGGATTTTAGTGGTACTTATAGAATCTGACCGCGAATCTCTGGTCTTGTAGGCTTTATCTGTGGCTTAACTGAGGGTATGAAGTCAGTGTGTGACACCAAGGCCCATTTGTGACCTCCAGTTATCTTTTTCTCTCTCTCCCTTTCTGGAGATGAAGCAAAAATATCATCAAATAGATCTTGGAATGATAGAATTAGGGAAAGGAGCTGTTAAGGCCATCAAATCCAGCCCTGCTCAGTGCAGCAATCCAAATTAAAGCATCCTTGTCTGGCCTCTCCTTGATGAACCCATCCAGTGAAGGGGAACCCTTGGTAATTTTTCCACTATCAGGTTCCCAGTAATAATATTGGGAAGTTATTCCTTACATGCAGCTTTTATTTATTTATATATTTACAATCCAAGACCAAACTAACAAACATTAAAACATATACAACAGTTAACAGTGCATACATAAAGATTACATGAAAGCCCAAACCAATCAAAACTGTGAAGAAGGCGCCAGTCAATTGTAAACTAAGCTACAGATAGACATTTCACCAATACCCTTGATACATCTAAAACTTGGTGATTTGAAAGGAAAGAGGTGATCTCCTTGTTGTAAGGAAAATTAAGATTTCTAGTAACTGGCGTTACGAGTTCTAATTGCCATTGCAGATAAGGTGGATACTTTGATAGGACGTGAGATATGGATTCTCCTATAATTTAGCCCATGCTTACTGTCTTGCACTGTGAGGTGCTAGAGAACACATTTTGACCTTTCCCTGCATGACACCTGCTTGGATACTTGAAAATCACTCAGTCATTTCGGCAAGGCTACTTCAGGTTCAGCCCAAAGAACTCCCCGAGGCAGCGCAGATACAGTTCTGTTGCATTTATTAGCTTCCACTTCAAGACAGAATCTCTCCAGACTCAATCTAAACTTCCCAAGCCAGCAAGCCAAAACACCGTGAATTCCTTAGGGTGGTG